TCGTGACACAGTGCCCATGTCCCCTGATGTTGCTCCTGCTTTGCAGACCGCCAGTGCGGAGGGGAGCTGGGCGAGTACACGGGCTACATCGAGTCGCCCAACTACCCGGGCAACTACCCGGCCAACGTGGAATGCACCTGGAACATCAACCCGCCGCCCAAGCGCAAGATCCTCATCGTGGTCCCGGAGATCTTCCTGCCATCCGAGGACGAGTGCGGGGACGTCTTGGTCATGCGGAAAAACTGTAGGTAACCGAGCGCTCGCGGGAGAAGGCAGGGGAGGAAAAAGCCACGGGGTGAAGGGAAACAGAGCCCTGTCCCTGGGTGCTCTGCACGTGGTTGAATGAGATGGGCTGGCGGGGAGGTGACCGGCATTGTCGTCCTTGTGCTGATGTCAGTGTCACCTTCCGTTCCTGGTACCCACTGAACCTGGAGAGGCGGGTGAGCTGCCTTGAGCTTGTGCTGCTGCGTTCTTGGGGTTTCAGGACTCCTTGTTTGGGCTTAAAAGCCCAATTTGGAGCAACGGAGCAGCAGTCGAATCGCAAAGCCCTAGGATCTAACAGGAGGGCTAGAAAAGCTCAGCCGCCCTGACCAGCAGCTCTCCAGGCCCCTGGTGTTCCTCTTGCCCCCTGCTCTGAACATTTAAACACAGAGGCGGAGGCTCCCGCGTCACGGGGTCCCGCGTTGCCCTTGCAGCCTCCCCCTCCTCCATCACCACGTACGAGACGTGCCAGACGTACGAGAGGCCCATCGCCTTCACGGCCCGCTCGCGCAAGCTGTGGATCAACTTCAAAACCAGCGAGGCCAACAGCGCCCGGGGCTTCCAGATCCCCTACGTCACCTACGACGGTGAGCAGGAGCCGTGGGGTGGCCGCGCCGGAGCCTCCGTTTGGGTTCTGGGGAGGGTGATCCGAGCGAGGCTTTGCCTCCTCCCCTGTCTTGGGAGCCCAGCTTGTCCCAGCTCAGGTCTCCCGGCAGGGGCAAATGGCCACTCGAGAAGGCCGAGAAAGTGTCCCCAGGGCCAGCAGCTCGTGCCCTGAGTGGGTTTCTCTTCGTTGCAGAGGACTACGAGCAGCTGGTGGAGGACATCGTGCGGGACGGCAGGCTGTACGCCTCCGAGAACCACCAGGAGATACTCAAGGTGAGAGTGTCCCCACGAGGCCCTGCGCTCTCCTGGCTGAGGATCTTTGGGTCTTTGCACGGTCCAGGATCCCCATCCCACTGCCAGCTTCGCTCTGGGTTTGTCCCAGGGATCTTGCATGGATTCACTGCGGGGGTTTGGGACCATCTGCTGTGACAACTGGAATGGGAGCAGGGGAGATTGGGGCAGCTGGTTTTGGGTGCTGAGGGAAGGCCCGTCCGTGGAGCGCGCTGCTGCTCGCAGTGACCATTCTGCTCTGGTGCCCTGCAGGACAAGAAGCTCATCAAAGCGTTCTTCGACGTGCTGGCGCACCCCCAGAACTACTTCAAGTACACGGAGAAACACAAGGAGATGCTGCCGCGCTCCTTCATCAAACTCCTCCGCTCCAAAGTCTCCAGCTTCCTCAGGCCTTACAAATAGCCCCCTGCACCCCGCCGCCTCCCGGGCCACCCTCCGTCCAAGGAAACTTTCTTCTCCTTTCCTACTTATTTCATTTTTTCTCTTTCCTCCTCCTCGGCTTTGGAAACCAACAGGATCGCCAAGTCTCGCTCCGCAGATGCCTCAACACGATTTCTCCTCCGCCCGCTCCGGCCCTGCCTCGGCAGAGCCGTGTCTGCTCCGGGGCCGGAGACGCGCCGGCCTCCACGGGCCGAGCGTCCAGCGCGGGGACAGCCGCTGCTCCAGGGAATCCCGTCCTCTCTTGGGAAGCAGCTTCGTCGTTTTCGCAAAGCAAAGCGCAGCCGCTTGCGCCGGGTGCCAACCCAGCCTCTTTGTTGGCCTCTGCATTATCTGCCATTTCCTCCACGCGTCCGCACCACATCTGTCTCCATTCCTAGATGCCAGCAGCACATCCACAGCCACCCGTCCCCATGGGACGCGGCCGGGGCTCATGTGTCTTCCTGCAAACGGGGCTGGCAGCGGCGGCAGCTGCTCCTCGGCGGCGGGCGAGGGACGTCCTGGCACCAGAAGGTGCCGCCGCCTCCGCGTAGCCCGCGGGGCTCCAGCAGCGACGCAGCTCTGCAGAGATGGGGCAAATAAAACGCATACTTTGTCAAAAAGAAAAGGAAAATAAAGAAGACAAAGGATATTTTTTAAAAAAGAGATAAAGGACAGAATGCACGACAGCAACCAAGTGGCGGTTGCGGCGGTGGCTCTGGTGGCCGTCCCTCCGGAGAGCCGGGCTGGCGCTCGGCGTCGGGAGCGAGCGCGGCCAAGCCACGTTCTCGGAGAACAATGTCTGGCTACACGGGAGAAAAAATGGAATGAGCGAGAGAGACTTTCAGCCGGGCTCATTTTTGTCCCCTCACAAACACGTGTGCCAAGAAACTAAGACTTTCTTACAAGCTCTGCCAAAGAGTAACTCGTTGACAGGAAAGCAAGCTTTGAGAAGAGCAGGAGTAAATGTTTGTGCACTAGGATATTCTCCTTTCTACCTTTTTCATATGTATTAAGTGCAATCATTTGAGTCTTCTTTATATTATTTAGAGGGAAGTTTTACAATATTTATACCTGCCTGAGAAATGAGAATGTGTGTTTGTAACAAAAAAACCCACCAAACCAAAAATTCTGGATCAACGGTGACCAGCGTGATGGTGTTTTCAGACCTTGGAATCTTTTCTGCTGATGTTTGTCCCTGGTGAAACATCCTTTAGGTGGAAGAGGAAGGGGAGCCGCTCCGGGCCACGCGGTTTTGCGCCCGTCGCCCCGGGCGGGCGCTTTTGACCCCAGCTGCGAGGTACAGCCCGGGTTTGGGAAGAGCCCCCAGCCGAATGCAGCCCTGTTTCCTGCTTCATGCAACCTGGGTTTTTAATAACGTGTTGGAAAACCGACTACATCCATCCCCGAGAAGCGGAAGATCCAGTGAGACCGAGCACGGTGCCGCGGCAGAAATCCCAGCGCCGGGGCCGGCACGGGAAGGAGCCGGGAGCTGCTCCGGGCAGCCGGCCACGACCGCGGCCGAAGAGGCCCCCGGCCACT